GCCAATGGCCACCTCGATTTCTCCAAACTCATTTCCTAGGACGACCATGTTGGTCGTGTGCGCCATCCTCATCAGCTCCTCCGTGGTCGCTTTGGCCGGCAACTTTTACCAAGATTTCGATGTCACTTTCGGAGATGGCCGGGTCCAGGTACTGAACAACGGCCAGCTAGTCGCTCTCTCCCTGGACAAGGCCTCTGGCTCCGGCTTCAGGTCCAAGAACCAATACCTCTACGGCAAGTTCGATATGCAAATCAAGCTCGTCCCCGGCAACTCCGCCGGCACCGTCACCACCTTCTACGTAAGTATGATCGACTCGCTTGACTAAAAATCCGTCTTTGATCAATACTTAAGTAGCCAAAGGGATTTCGATTAATGGTGCTAACACGAATGATGTCATTCTTGTTTTGCAGTTGCACTCGGACGGATCAACCTGGGACGAGGTAGACTTGGAGTTCTTGGGGAACTTGAGCGGCGACCCTTACATCCTGCACACTAACTTGTACAGCCAAGGCAAAGGCAATAGGGAGCAGCAATTCTATCTCTGGTTCGACCCGACAGCCGACTTTCACACTTACTCTGTTCTCTGGAATCCTTCGCACATCGTGTAAGTACTTCTCGTCCTAATCATGTAAACCTTTGAACAAACAAATTTCCTCCTAAAGTAACGCCGATTGGAGGTCCTTCACAACATAACGAATGACGGGTCTCTTTTCTTGCTTGCTAAAAAAACAGGTACTATGTGGATGGGACTCCAATAAGGGAGTTCAAGAACTTGGAAGCAGCAGGGGTCGCGTACCCGAAGAGCCAGCCCATGACCCTCTACTCGTCCCTATGGGACGCCGAGGACTGGGCCACCCGGGGCGGCCTCGTGAAGACCGACTGGTCGCAAGCGCCTTTCACCGCCTCCTTCAGGGGCTTCAATGTGAGCGCGTGCGTTTGGTCCAACGGAGCCTCCTCGTGCCCTTCTTCCTCGGCCGCGGCGGCGAAATACCCATGGTTTTCTCAGCAACTCGATGCGGCGAGCCAGCAGACGATGAAGTCGGTCCAGCAGAAGTACATGATCTACGACTATTGCCAGGACACCAAGCGATTCCCTCAGGGCTTGCCTCTGGAGTGCACCCTAAGGACTAAGTCATGAGATCATGCACATAAACAAAAATATGATAATGTTCATAAGTATGCCTTCATTCCATTAATTTGTAAGTGTTGTGACTAATTCGTACGCTGTGGAGAATATTTTCTCTACGCTGTGGGTGTACACGAGACATCCTCATGGTTTACCAAGTCAATAATATGTTGATCAATTTGATGATGTGATGGAGTTTGAATGTGTTTTATCTTGACAGAAGATGATGTCTGCTTCGAGGTGAGGTTATAATCATAGTCTTATAATTATTGTTTTTTGGACTAAGCATCGTTGCATGGTAGTTGCGGGGAAGTCTGAATTACTGCCTAAAGGTGGCAGAGACCTGTGTCTTCACGTAAACAAGCGACAAGGAAATGTGAAGAGACACAATATATAGATACTAACTATACTATATTGTTTATTCAAATGAACAATAATCTAAGCGAAGCCTATTGCCCAGAGGATCTTGATTACGATCGTTTTCAGTATTGTACAAGTTTGGAAGGCGACACCTGAGTCATGATGATTCCTCTCCATCCAAAGCAACTAAAGAATCACTCATTAACTCCATCAACCTTAGCTAATATTAGGAAAATTATCAAAAAAAGTCCTCAACCTATTATATTTTTATCAATTCAGTCCAATTTTTTTTTATTATGCTTATTGAATCTTAAATATTTTCACATATTGTTAATTGAGTCTATTTGACTAATTTAGCCAGAAATTATTGATGTAGATGCTGATTATCCTTCGTAACATGGACGGTACTGAAGTGGATATTTTTTAATGGGAGGGAGAATTTCAATGTGGGACAAGAATCACTCTTTGGGGGGGGGGGGGCACGGGGGGCTCTCTTTAATGTAAAAGCATGTCTTTCTTTCTTTTAATGCATGGCATATTTAGCCATAGCATGAGTTCTTTCTGAGGCCAATTCAACCTACTACCACTACTAGATTATTAGTCAATTAAACACAAGCTAGAGTAGACAAACGTTGCTTTCTCCTCTACCTTATCAAAGAAAAGGACGACTAAACCAGCTGATACTAAAGCTTTTTCCATGATTACTAGGTTGAGATTAAATTATTCCTTTCCTCATTGAAACATCGGAAGGAGGATGCTTCTTCCAATTAAATACCTTGGTTAGTTCCATGTATTATTTGCTATATGCTGCGGTTTGTAGGCCTAAACGCGTGTCAAACCAAAGTTAATGTGAAATATGGTAATTGAGGGTTGACTTGTGCTCCTCTTTCCTTTGCTTTTAGGACCGACTTGATCAAGCTAAGACATATCACAGATACCTACGTACGTCAATGCTTTTGTAACAGATGAAATAGGTCGACGGCTACTTATATTAAAGAGTCAAAGACGCCCAACTACCCAAGAAGGATTAATCTTTTCCCTTCTCCCACTCAAAAAAGGCTTTATAGTAGACTTTGCTTGTTGCTTGTACAGCATACGATGCGACAGTGATGCATGAAGAAATCGACCGATTAGAAACGTTCATTTCAAAATTCAAACACAAATATTAACGGGGTATATATCGACTAAATCATATTAGCCATATAACCGATGTATAAAATACTTTAACCCCAGCTGGATATTGGGGAAAATTGTCAAAAAAGTTCTAAAATTATTGCACTTTGAACCTTCCAATTTTGCTAATTGAGTCAATCTGCTCAATTTTGATGGGAAATCGCTGTCGTGAAGACTAACCATTTTACGTGGCATGGCTGGTGTTTGACGTGGATTTTTAATTTTTTTTATTAATAATATTTAATTTAATTTTTTATTTATTTTATTTTCTTTCTCTTTTCCTTCTTCACTGCTTTCTTACTATGGCCAACAGTCAACGAGGGCCTGACGACCGTCATTGGCCACTAGGTGAGGGTTGTCGAGCCCTCGCTAGCCTCAGGCGAGGGCTGGGATTCCCTCAGTTGGCCTTGCCAGGCTGGGGGAGGCCTTTGCATGGCCACGGACCATAGTCGCGATGGCCTCGCCGGGCTCTGGTCAGCTTCGCCCTCGATCGGCGAGGCTAGTTGCCCATAGTCGCTATGGCCTCACCCAGATCTGAGCGAGGCCCATGACCTCTCGCCGGCCGCCGGCAATAGTAGGAAAGTAGTGAAGTACACAAAGAGAAAGAAAAGAAAATAAAATCAAAAAGTCAAAAAATTTAAAAAATATTTAAATAACATTAAAAATTATTTACGTTAGCGCCAGCCATGCCACGTAGGACGATAAGCATCCACGTTAACGATTTTCGGTGAAAATTGGCCGGATGGACTCAATTGACAAAACGTGAAAATATTTAGGACTCAATTGGCAAAATTAAAAGATTTAGGACTGAATTGGCAAAAGTGTAATAGATTTATGACTTTTTGGACAATTTTTCCTAGGGTATTGACTAATGTTTGTAAAGACATCTTTGTATGCTCACAAACCAGGACTTTAGCGGATTTCAATCTATTTGGTTGGCCTTAATTTGACGTTCCTCTCATGTATTTATAATCTAAATCTTTTATATGAAAATGAAAATTTTGTAATTTAAATGGTAAATTACGTCCCCACAGTAGATCAACTTGGATAAGATATGCCAGCAATCGAGATTGATCTTAATCATAAATAAATTGCTAAATTTCGGAAAAAAATGGTCATTTTTCTTGAAGCCACATAGATTCTATCTTTTAACAGCTAGCCACCACATGAATATGCTCGAAGTTACAAATATTTTGGCCCTCATGTGGGTCTTTACGTGGCCAGATCTTTCTAGAAAGCATTTTGGGCTTTAGCCTTTGGGTATTTATATGCTCGTAAATCACAAAAAGTTATGCCAAAAATATTAAAATCGGTATAACAGCTTGATTTATAGAGTGATGTGCAACATTATTATAGGTTTCTAACGATCAACTTAGTTAAATGTCCACTTGTTATTAAGATTAGGTGCATAAACACAATGAAATAGAGAGTAAAAGCGAGAAAGAAAAATCGAGATATAATGTTTTATCCTGATTTACTTTTAAACTATAATTACATCAAACAAAGAATTTAACTATAATTAGCAACTTTCAATTTTCTGTTACAACTTTTAATTATAAGAGAAATGGATTCTATATAGATAACAATTATTCATGGGCTCAAACCTAAATTACCAATAAAATACAAGGCCAAACTATAAAAACTCTTTAGCTGCTAGGGGATTGTGCTCTCCTACGACCCCTACCGGGGTGGTTCCCTAAACCCCTATCAGTTTATTGGAAGCGAGATTTCTGTGCCTTTCTGTCGATGAGAAATATGAACCACACCATAACACTTGTAGATTGACACGAAGATTGTTATATTAGATAGCTAGCATCATCAAAGTACTTAATGCCTCCATCACAAATTGCTAATCTGGCATGTTTTAATTGCGCTCCAGAAGAGCAGCCAGAGACAGCACACTAGCCACGGCTCTCATGATTAGTCAATCGTGTCACCCTTTTATACCACGCGGTTTTAGACGCCAGAGAGAAACCAATGAACTTGACGACCAAGTTCTTATCCACAAAGGAGAGCGGGGTTGCTTCGTCTAATGCCTCCCCAATAGTTTCCCACCACATAACACCCTCTCAGGAACACCCCAAAAATAAAAAAAAATGTTTTTAGGAGTGGCTGATGAAATGAATTTGTACCGGTCGTCATCATTTAAGATGATAAAGAAGACCCTTTTAAAAATTGAGAGTTGCCAATAAGTTTTTTTGCCTTGTTTTTTGGCGTCCAGCTGTTAAATTCTTCACTTCCTAGGACCCACTAACCAAAAGAATATGGCCAAATTGCGTTTTACCCATTTCGCAAATTGGAACATTCCCCAACACGCCAAACCCTTCATATAAATACCTCTTCCGAGCCTTGAACAACCATCATCCTCGAGTTCCAAGTTCTTTCAACAACGCAAAAAAGTCCACCCACTTTCCCACACCTCCATAGCAAAAGTCCCACTTCAACTAAACTCGCGACCCGGCATTTTGCCAATGGCCGCCTCGATTTCTCCAAACTCATTTCCTAGAACAACCATGTTGGTTGTGTGCGCCATCCTCATCAGCTCCTCCGTGGTCGCTTTGGCCGGTAACTTTTACCAAGATTTCGATGTCACTTTCGGAGATGACCGGGTCCAGGTACTGAACAAGGGCCAGCTCGTCACTCTCTCCCTGGACAAGGCCTCTGGCTCCGGCTTCAGGTCCAAGAACCAGTACCTCTACGGCAAGTTCGACATGCAAATCAAGCTCGTCCCCGGCAACTCCGCTGGCACCGTCACCACCTTCTATGTAAGTATGATCGACTCGCTCGACTAAAAATCCGTCTTGGATCAATATTTAAGTAGCAACACGAATGATGTCATTCTTGTTTTGCAGTTGCACTCGGACGGATCAACCTGGGACGAGGTAGACTTGGAGTTCTTGGGGAACTTGAGCGGCGACCCTTACATCCTCCACACCAACTTGTACAGCCAAGGCAAAGGCAATAGGGAGCAGCAATTCTATCTCTGGTTCGACCCGACAGCCGACTTTCACACTTACTCTGTCCTGTGGAACCCTTCGCACATTGTGTAAGTATTCCTAGTCCTAATCATGTAAACCTTTAAACAAATTTCTTGCTAAAAGTAACACCGATTGGAGGTCCTTCACAACATAATGAATGACGGGTTTCTTTTCTTGCTTGCTAAAAAAACAGGTACTATGTGGATGGGACTCCAATAAGGGAGTTCAAGAACTTGGAAGCGGCAGGGGTCGCGTACCCAAAGAGCCAGCCCATGACCCTCTACTCGACCCTATGGGATGCCGAGGACTGGGCCACCCGGGGCGGCCTCGTGAAGACGGACTGGTCGCAAGCTCCTTTCACCGCCTCCTTCAGGGGCTTCAATGTGAGCGCGTGCGTTTGGTCCAACGGAGCCTCCTCTTGCCCTTCTTCCTCGGTCGCCACGGCGAAATACCCATGGTTTTCTCAGCAACTCGACGCGGCGAGCCAGCAGACGATGAAGTCGGTCCAGCAGAAGTACATGATTTACGACTATTGCCAGGACACCAAGCGATTCCCTCAGGGCCTTCCTCTGGAGTGCACTCTAAGGACTAAGTCGTGAGATCATGCACATAAACACAAATACGATAATGTTCATATGTATGCCTTCATTCCATTAATTTGTAAGTGTTGCGATTAATTCGTACGTGTGGATGTACCCGAGACGTGCTTATGGTTTACCAAGTCAATAATGTGTTGATCAATTTGATGATGTGATGGAGTTTGGATGTGATTTATCTAGACAGATGATGATGTCTGCTTCGAGGTGAGGTTATCATCATAGTCTTATAATTATTGGTTTTTTGGACTAAGCATCGTTGCGAGGTAGTTGCGGGGAAGCCTGAATTACTGCCAAAAGGTGGCAGGGACGTGTGACTTCACGTAAACAAGTGACAAAGAAACGTGAAGAGAAGCAATATTGATAGTAAATATACCATCTTGTTTATTCAAATTAGCAATAATGTAAGGGAAGCCCATTGCCCAAAGGATCTTGATTACGACCGTTTCAGTATTATACAAGTGTGGAAGGCGACACCTGACTCATGATTGATTCCTCTCTATCCAAAGCAACTAAAGAAATCACTTATTAACTTCATCAACTTAGCAAATACCGAGAAAATTATCCAAAAAGTCATAAATCTATTATACATTTGTCAATTCAGTTCAAATTTTTTTAATTGTGCCAATTGAATTCTAACCATTTTCATAAATTATCAATTGAGTCTATTTGGCCAATTTTGATCTGAAATCGTTGACGTGAATGCTGGCTGTCCTATAGGACATATTTTGCGCTGATGTGAATAATTTTTAATAATAGTTTAATGTGTCAAATCGGTCTAATCAAATCATTCCGTTGATTGCGCTTTTTGAAAGTTTTAGGATCCGATTGCATTTTCATGACAAGTTTTAGAACTTGATTGAGTCAGCTTTATTGCCCTTAAATAAAATAGAAGGAGCATTTTTTGAAAATTTTATGACTCAAGTGCACTTTAATGACAATCAATTTTATGACAAATTTTAGGACTTTCGGATCACTTATTCCAAAGAAACAAATAAATGTTGGCGACAAATTAGATAAGAGTTAGTAATTTAATCGTAGAAAATAGTTGGTAAGTAACACAAATGAAAATAGTAGGTCAATATAAAAAATTAGTAAATTTGAAGAAGAAACCAAATAAACATTGCTAAGTAACTCAAATAAGAGTTAGTAACCCAAAACTCATTCGTAAAATCGTATAAAAGCTGATAAGTCATACAAAAAAACACAGTAATTTCATATAGCAGTCGGTAAATTTACAGTTTTGGTAAGAAAGGTAAATAAACGTTGATAAAAGATAGGAGATTTTTTTTTTGAGATTTATGTAATTGGAAGTAAACAATTAGGTTTACAATGAAACCTAGAAATCGATATACACAAGGGAAGTTGGCTCTTTAAAAAAGAACGTTGGTAAATAACTCCAATAAGAGTTTGTAACGGAAAACTAGTTGGTAAAATAATTGTAGAAATGTTAGTAATCATTCTAATTGAGGTTGGTAATTTTTAAAAGGAGATGGTTAATTTAAAAAATGGATAAGGAAGGCAACTAAAAGTTGTAAGTCAATAGAAAAGTTGATAAATTTAAGAAAAAACGAATCAATGTTGTTAAGCAACTCTACCCAAATGAGACTTGATATCTCAAAACTAGGAGGTAACTTAATAGTAAGAAAGTCGGTTAGTCGCACAAATAAAATTTGGTAATTTCGTACACTAGTTTGTAAATTTTAAATCGCAAAGAATTGTAAATAAAAGTTGGTAAAACAAAAATGGTTGTTAAATCGGAGAAAAGTTGGTAACCACTCTAGTTGAGGTTTTATAGATTCTAAAAATAGTTAGTAAATTTAAAATGTTGATAAACAAAACAAATATAAATGGTTGCTTAATAGAATAGTTGATACATTTAAAAAAATAAATACGAGCAAGCAACTCAAATGAGAGTTGATAACCAATACCTAGTTGATGACTTAATCGGAAAAAAAGTTGGTAAGTTGTTCAAACAGGGTTGGTAAGTTTAGATAATTACTGGTAAGTTTGAGGCATTAGCAAGAAATGCGGATAAAAGTTTGTAAACGATACCAAGATATTTTTTTATCAATTAAAAAAGAAGTCGGTAGCTAAAAAAAATCAAATAAACATCGATACTTGTCACGCCCCGAACCCTACGGACACGCAATATCCCGCTATGGTCGTTATGATGCGACAACCCAGGACTCGTCGCCGACCCTTTTCTTTTTATCTTTGAATTACGCAAGCGGAAACGATAACCAACACAACAATCCCCAGACAGTAATCAAATCAGGGATAGCAGAGGAAAACTAGACATAACAAAAGTCATTTTTAATATTCACTTGATTAACTCCTGGGAACATACTTACAAACCCACTCCGGGCGTTTTCACAAAAAGCTAGCAAAAGACAAAGGTTAGGGTTAATCTACTCCACCAACAAGTCGAATTCCAAAAAAAAAACCAGCTTCCGAATACCCTGAACCAACTGGGTGCATCAACGTGCTAACGGCCTGAAAAGTGGTTAACAACAACAAATGAGACGAAAGTCTCAATAAGTTAACAGCCTAAGCCCCGCTTAGGAGGCTAACTCGCACGGGGGTCCCTAACCAGTCAATACAGCATCAATAGCAACAATATTAAACAACCACAGGCATCCTTATCTCGCCTTGGTACACTCGTTGATGAAATGCATATGTCACATACTCGAAGCATTTAACGAGATTTTCCATGCGTTAATGCAACACAGTCGCGCGTGTCTCGATTATAAGGTAAAACCCGCTTGGGCACGTCCCATACTATGCCTAGCAGTTTCTACCCCATAATCAAGCACTATGCATCACACGTATTCCAATTATTACGCCCCCTCGAGGCCACCACACATCAAGCGACACGTAGCAAGATGGCGGTCTACCGGTAAAAACCGGGCTCCGTCCCGCCCCGTCGGGCACGACTACGTCAAACGATACACAGGATGGCGGCATTCCAATACGGCAACATCAAACGATACACAGTAAGATGGTATCCCATAAGGAGCATCAAGTCCGGCCTCGGGCCGCGACAAGGCATCCGGGGTATCGACACTCCAGATTATCCCCAGGCATCCGATAAATCGGGCAACGTCAAGCGATACACAACAAGACGGCTTTAACGTGTGACCACAGGAGCACACAAGCATACCGGCCAATTATTATCTTTTCAATTAGCCCATGCGTCCATGAATAGTGCTCACACAATGCCGCATAACAAACCAAGTGGTCACACATGCAAATAGTCATTCAATTCTTGCAAGCTTCGATGCTAAACATGTTTATCAATCACAAAGCATCACTACCAATTACTTGGCATGACAATAAAAATAATTTAATGCCAAAAACTCGTAAACTTTCTTAAAAACTTCCGATCAAAACAGTTTATCATAAATTCAATTTAATACAACAATTCACGGTAAAATCGCCAACATTCAAGCTAGAAATCATAATTTGAGATTACAAATTTTCCGAAATAACAATAAATTAAATTCGGAATTAATTAATTAATAATATCCGAAAATAATTTAATTTTCCAAAATGTCAAAATATTTCCTCGAATCGAAATCATTCAAATCATTTCCTAAATACGCCAACTTATACGGCGAAAACCAACATTGGCATCACAATTTGACGCTAGAAAATTTCCGAAAATAATAACATTTAATTTTCAGAAATTAATTATTTAATAATAAAATATTAATATTTAAATCCGAAAATTATCATTTAATAATAAAATAATATTTAATTCCGAAATAAATTCATTTAATAAAGTAATCAACAATAATAAAATAATTAATAACCTATCATCAAAAATCATCTAACATTTAATAAAGTAATCAACAATAATAAAATAATTAATAACCTATCATCAAAGATCATCTAATAATCCAATATTAACTTGATCTAAATCTTAATTAAACTACCTAAGTAAATTTAATACCTTAAACACGGGATTAGGGGTTAACTTACACAACTAACGCCGGCGAAGGTGCGAGGACGAGGGCCATCCGCGCTGGTTTTCGGCTCGGACTCGGCGGCCGGCGGACGAACCGGCGAACGGAAACGACGAAGAAGCGGCCGCTGTGGTGGCTGGTCCGGCGGCTTGGCGGAGCCTGAACACGGCGGCTGGACGAGGCGGAGTTTGGCCGCGGCAGACGCTCGGTCGAAGTTCGGGACGGCGGCGAGAGGAGCCGGGCAGGGGCGAGCCGAACAGAAGCAGGAGCGGAGGCTAGAAGCTGCGGCGTCGGGGGAGGGGAAAGCGGCTGGCGAAGCCTGTCCGCGGCGAACGAGCTGCTGGGGGCAAGGCGCGGCGGTGGGACGGTGCGCGGCGGCGATGAGCGGCGGAGGTCAGTCCGGCGAGGGGCAGAGGAGCAGCGGCGTGACAGACGCAGGAGCAAGGAGCCAGAAGCGGACGCGGAAGAGAGGAAGAAGGAAGAGAAAAGAAAAAGAAAAAGAAAAAGGAGATAAGGATGAGAGAGAGGAGTAGGTGGGTGTGTCAGGCACGCAGGGGGGGGGGGGGGAAAGCCGGCGGAAAAGAGGGGAGGAGAGAGAGAGGGGAAAAGCAAAGGTTAAATCGCAATAATTACGATTCAACGGTCACGATTCGAATTCAAAAACGATCTAACGGTTTTCGAAAAATTATAATTAATAATTTGGGATTTGGCTAAAAGGTATTAATAAAAACATATCGCAAAAGAGTTCTACCGATCTAAATCCGCACTCGGTCAAAAACTCGTTTTTCACATATCCCGTGCAATATCGAGATGGGCCATAATAATATATCGACACCGTCCAATTAAATTCGTCCTGGAACTCCGAGAAATTCGACACCAAAGTTTGGGCTCTAAATAATGGCTAAATTCGATCGAGTGCGATTCTAGCGAAATCTCAATTTTAAAAACAATAACCGGGAGTGATCAGTTCCCGGGCGAGATTTTACTATAAGCACACTGACGAATTACACGTTTTATAAATCCCAAAAATGGGTCGAAATTCGAAATGTCACAATACTTATTTCAAATTAGTGTTGGTAATACTAAACTAGTTGGAAACTGAATTGGATAAAAGTTGATAATCGTTCTTATTGAGGCTGGTAAAATTCTGAAAATAGTTGGTAAATTTAAAAAGTTGGTGAATAAGGCAGTAAAAGTTGTAAGTCGGCTTGGTAATTTTAATAAAAAAAACAAACAAATTGGTAAATCATAGAAAGTTGACGAATTAAAAAAAGGACCAAATCATTGCTGGTAAGTAACTCGAATGAGAGTTGTTAATCCAAAATTAATTGGTAATTTAATCGAAAAAACTTAATAAATCACTCAAATAAGGAGACGTAAATTTATATAAAAATTAGTAAATTTAAGTTGTTAAATTTAAGGCGTTAGTAAGAAGGACAAAAAAAGTTGATGTAAAGTAAGTAAAGTTGGTAATTGCAACTTGTTGAAAAAAGTTCGTAACTTCATAAAAGTATAAGTAAATCATAAACAAGTTAGTGAAAATCAATTGATTGATAATTTTTTTATTGACATATTTTTAAAATTTACCAACTCATTCAAAAATTTACTAGTACAGTAGAAAGTCTTTTTTTTTTTTAAATGGATCAGTGGAATCATCCACTCCAAAATAGAATCACACGCTCATTATCATTATATGCATGTATAGAAAAAAGGGTTAATATTACAAAAGACCCTAAATTAGTATATTTGTGGCAAATTTATCTAAAACTAATTTTTTGATTACGAAAAAACCCAAAACTGGTACATTTATGATAAATTTACTCAAAACTAATTTATTGATCACAAAAAATCCCAAACTGGTACACTTATGACAAATTTACCCTCCGTTAGTTTCTGATAAATTGGATTAATACCTCGAAAAATCATAAATTGTTACATTTGTGATAAATTTACTCTCCGTTAGCTTCCGTTAAATTGGATTAATACCCCGAAAAATCACAAATTGTTACACTTGTGACAAACAGAGGGTAAAACCCCAAACTGGTACATTTGTCAACTGTCATGTGTCATCAAATTTAGCAATTAAAGATAAAATTTAATGGAAATTAACGAAGGGTAAATTTGTTACAGGTGTACTAGTTTGGGATTTTTTGTGGTATTAACCCTAGAATAAAAAAAAACTTCTTTGATTAATGGCAGAATTAATTGTCAAGCCAACCATTTTTTGCAGCTAAAAGAAAAGTTCTTGTAAAAAATTGTTCATTTTATGGGCAAAATCTAACAAAATTACTATTCACCCTCTCGTGTTTGACGCTCAAGGTGAGGTTTTAATCCATTACCCTTCAAGAATTTGAAGTCTTGAGTAGAAACAGAAAACAACATTGGTGGAAAGGCTATGAGTACGAGGATTTGAATTCTAACAAAACATAACAAGTTCGTTTCTTTTTCAAATAAGAGTTGGGTTAATTGCAACTAATCATCGACAAACAAGCACCCTCCAGTAATTCACACACACATGCATGGGCGGTTGAAGATAAGCAAATTTTTGTTACGATCTTCGGGATGAAGAAACAATTTGAACAACTTGCTTGTCAATCTCTATCTTGACTCTGTTAAGTTTTTTTAAAATTATTCCGTAATTGTGAGTTTTTCCTGTAAGTGAACCATTCCTGTGATTTCTTCTCCCCAACTCTCTACGAATCAAGTTTCCAAGATTAGCTTTCTCTTTATGTTTCACACACTTGCCTTTTCTGTAGCCACTAAACACTTATGGTGAGATCTTTCCTGTATTGTGTTTTCACTCGTTTGCTTGATTACACTTGATATGCTGTATCTCCACTAGTCCCATCTTTCCATTTACGTGGGGCTTCGAACCATATTCAACGAGCAAGGAAATCTTGTCCGATTAATTTCCATCAGTATAGCCTAGATCTCCTGCATTTACTGGGGGTACTAAAACCCTAATCACATATATCGGTTGTTTATGATCTTCTCTTGTGGAATTTTTAGTGATCTTCTCTTGTGGATTTTTTAGTGATCTTCTTGGGTGATCACAATATTTTCTTGATATATGTTCGTGTTCAGGGTCTAGATATGCCAAAGATTGGTGAAAAAGTTACGTGCTTGGCCCCGGAGGAAGCCGGAGTTCCATATCCCGAGGGCCTGCGAGTCATGGCCATCGACGGCGACCGTGCTTGTCTCATGATTCTTGTCACTGTGCTAAAGAAGTGCCAGTATGAAGGTTTGTCGATCGTCGTGTCATTAAGTTTAGCTCTCTTGTTGTTAGTGAGCGAAATACCAAGTAAAAGGTCATGCATTGACTTTGTTCTTTGAAGAATGAATTGCTAATTGCTATACGCAGTCTATTCAGGATTTGAGAACATTGATTAAGATGCTATATTCCATTAATGGAATCTTGTAATAGGATCCTGCGACACATCTCGGATTTTGTTATAATCGGGCTATGAATTGTTCACAATCATGGTTTTTTTAATTTGATTACAGTCAACATTCTTGAGAGATGAATGTTAGTCTCGTTTGATTTGTATAGACAGTACACATGTGTCAAATCTAACCGTCTTTGGCAAAAAAGAAGTGAATCCCTGTTCACATATCAGGGACAGTTCTGCTCCAAAAATAGAATCCAAGTTCTGATTGCGCAGTTTTCACTTGTATGTATGCAGTTACAGCACAAGAAAAAGCGACCGAAGCCTTAGAAATGCTGAGAGAGAATAAAGACAAGTATGACATAGTTGTCACTGCCGTTGTAGGGCTCGACATGGACGGTTTCAATCTCCTGGAGATCATTGGCCTCGAAATGGACATACCAGTCATTAGTAAGCTACAAAACTTGTGTAGAAATGTCACAAATGTTGTACATCTCGATCCCTTGTTCCATTTATTGCAGCGTAAGTGATATTAGATTACACAAACTTCTGCACTAACTACCATTCTAAGGACTCTAGGAGTACAAATATTTATCTTTCTGGATATACAAACTCCTACACTGCTGAGTGCTGCATTTTAAGTCTCATTTTTTTACGTTGATTTTTATTGGCTATACAGATATTGATTTTAATCTTCCTGTACGTTTCCTTCACCAATACTTCTTGCCTCAGTCCTCCTACTCTTGCTAGATAAAAAGTTTTAAGTTGTAGACAGCTGTACCGGTGTTGACATTACGGTTTCAAAGCTTCCAACCTTCAATTCAGCGTTTCCTCTTCAGCATGGCAATGATGCATCTTCTCACGGTTGGAAATTACCATTGTTCAGTGGTATCGGCGAGCGATGATCAGAAGATCATAATGAAGGCTATATTACATGGGGCTCGGGACTTCCTAATGAAGCCGGTTAGGATTCAAGAACTCAAAAACATTTGGCAGCATGTGCTACGGAAACAATTATGCAAACAAGAAAAATCTAAGCTCGTAGTCGAAAAAACAGCTGCACAATCAACAGGGACGAAGCGACCGGTACTCACGGACGAAGTAGCAGATGCTAAGGATGAAAGCAATTGCCAAGCTGACAACAATGCTTCAGTTCGTAAGAGAACAAGGGTCAGTTGGTCCACCGAGCTTCACCTCAATTTCGTTAATGCAGTTCAGCAGCTAGGAATCAACTGTAAGTTCTCTTGTACTCACCTGACTATAAGGAATCAATGGTATTTAATTACAATCTTAAGGGTGGATGGAATTCTGTACAAATTATGAAGGTAGAGGATCAATTGTAAGGTTAGTGTCTGGAAAGTGCATTTTGCAAATGCGAGTCAATTAATTAACATTCTTGAGGTTTTATACTGCAATTCATCAGCAGCATATCCGAAACAAATACTGGAAATTATGAATGTACCGGGACTCACTAGAGAAAATGTTGCAAGTCATCTTCAGGTGAGTATTATATGCTGGTCTCTTCCACTATAATTGAGTTTTATTTTTTCAATCCCCCATCGATAATCTACTAATCCAGTGTCCCATTGTAGAAGTACAGAAATATGCTGAAGAAGCACAATGCAGCTCTGAACCAAGAGACCCCAAGCGAAACCGATTCGAGCCTAAACACTAGGCGTGGCCGCTACCGAAAGAACGACATTGCCTACAGAGTAGGAAGTGCTCGGCCGCCTCTCGACATCAACCAAGTCAACGACTACGCTATCACATCCAAAATGCTAATGAATAACCTCTCAGGCATTAATCAGAACTTTCTTCCGAGTCATCACAATGCTCTTCAAGTGCACATACCGCATCAGCATCAGCATCTTATCAATCAAGTGCGGCATGTGCAGACTCCTTGGCTTGAGCACCAACCTTCAGCTAATTTTTTTCCTATGATCAATCAAGTCGCCGTGCCCGAGTTTCAATTTGGACATATGCAGCCGGAGAATCAGACAGGAAGTCACTCTCAGCAGTTTCAATCACAGATTCCCCGGATAGGAGGCAGCTTCAGCAGCAGGCCAATTAATCATCCTCATGCGATCCCGACTGGTTTCAATCAACATCCTCTGTTAATTCAAAGCGGAGTTTCTACCGTGATGAATTCATGTATTAACCCCACGACCAACCATGTTCATAAATCCGAAACTGGTATAAACAATGTGAACGTTTTTCTTTTGTTCTTAGTGCTAATATGTATCTGGAAACAATCTTAATGCTGCCACTGATATTAACCGCGGTCTTCTAAGCCTTCAACATGTTAGGTTCACTGTGTGTTTACCGTAATTATGCGAACTATAAATGTGTGTTCCTCCCTACTCAACCTTTCACAATACTATCAATATGCTAATGATTAATGCTCTTCTGATATTAATCTTTTGCATAAACTACTTGGTATCATTCTGCTTTTGAGGACCAGACAGAGGGACAAGTACTTGCTGTCAGGGAAATGGCGAAAGTTCTAGCTTGAGGAATCAGATTGCTTGTGGCGGAAGCAACGGGAGAAATCTGTCGTCAGTACGATCATTAGAAAGTGACAATGCCAAGCTTGAGCATCAATTGCTTGAAAAATCAGAAGAAGGAAGAGATATCTGCCACCACAAGTTCAGTTTCCTTGATGATGAGCTTACTGTCATGATCAACCAGGTAAAGATCCATGGATTTTTTATATTCTTTTTTTCCGCTCATGGAGTTCAGTTTGCTTAAGGTCTATAAAGAATCAAACTGCCAAACAATAAAGGGTAATATTGCATCAGCTAAACAATCTGGTCTGATCTGATCTTTGTCAAAGTGTATTTATTATGTTCAATATTGATTAATCAAAGACAATGCATGGTGGTGCAGTTTAATGTTGATGGAGCTCCGAAGCTATAATCTGTATCCAGTTATATTCACATGAAGCATGTGATCCGAAGCCGGCACGTGAATCTGATCTTCTCTCATCTATGAAAGTAGGGGCTTGATTTGGACAATTAACGAGGACACATTGCTGTTACCTAGTGATCACTATATTACCTTATCTGTTTGTTCCTTTTCTTCAACCTAGTTATATACTGATATTTTCAAATTTTCCAGTTCCTAGGATTGTTCTACAGATTAGGGCTTTATCTATTTGCGGGTTGGATTTGAATCTAATAAATGAAAAGTTTGTTGTATCGACAATATTGGGTTTATTTCTCTTTTTTCATGTGACACAATTGTCTCTTCTTCAATTTTCTGTTGGGAGGGGGAGCTAGCCGTCAATAATGTGTGAAATTTGCTAGCATAATTTATGGTGTGTTTGTTTCAGGAAAAACATCATGATAAAAGAAAATGCTTTCCAGGAAAATATTTTCATCTTTTTAAATCAGGAAATTTATTTTCCTAACTTTAAGCATGCATATTTTTTTTGACTGTAAATGATTTCCTGTTGTCTCTCATAAATCAACTAACGGTGTACTCCGTTGTCTCAAATTCAAAATACCGTAAATTTGACCATGGATGCCATTCATCTATCAGAAGAAAATACTGGAGAGATACATATAAAGCTTTCAAGCCTAGCAAATCCAAAATAATTGCAGAACAAAATAAAAGTCAGAAAGCAAATAACAAAGCACAATCTGTAGCTAGAAACACACTCTCATCCCTCAATAACAGATCTACCACTGTAAACGATCGGCAGCCGATCACCAAATTCAATGATGAGCACACACCGAGATCTCCCACTTCATTTACAATGGCTTGCGATGCGTGTCTAAGTTCAACGTCCTTATTACCATCGCCGTGTAAAGACACCAACATCAAAATGTTGAATGAACACATATCAAATACCTATTCCCAAATCTATATCCAGATCTAATTCGAAAGAGTTACATCCCAAAAACTTGACCTAAATCTAAATCGGGAGAGGAGAGAAGCCTAATCTTGAAGAGGTTGTGGCGTTATGGTATGAACATCCTCCTCGGTGGTTGTCGAATGGATGAATGGCCGAACTGGACTCCATGTACACCCAAGATCAATTGCATAAATTTATTCACACACAAACTCCCAAAACAAATCGGGAGAGAAAAGAAAGACAGAGAGCTTCAAAGAAGGAAGATGAAGACAAAGAGGGCCAGGGGGGAGGGAGGGAGAGATCTCTCTCTTAGGGATGGCACTGCAAAAAGGCGGCCGCTTCAAGGGAAAAGAGAGAAAACATTAACCTAGGGTAAAGAAAAGGAGGAAATCGTTTCCTTTTTTAAAAAAAATTAGCAAGATAGCTCAGTGAGTAATCGACCGGTTCAACTAGGAATCAAACATGTCAAAACCACACATGCAACTAACTCTTCCCACCCATCTCTACATACATTTAATAGCTCTTATCAACCAATAAAAGATCAATCAATCTGCCTCAACAAAAATTGATGGAATTAGACCTAAAAAAATCCATTCAGGTTCGTTATCGATTAGGTATAAGTGGAAATATAAAGCTAAAAGAGTTAACTTAATTTCAGATCGTTCCAATCGAACAGATGATGGGTCAAGATCATGTTAGATGATAGGTCAAGATCATGTTGTTTAATGGGAATTGAAGAGTTGAGAACAATCATATATCGAACGATTAATTTCCATTTCTTGTCATCGAGGAATTTGTCATCAAGATCGATCGCCCCACACATACATATAATATATGATCCTTGGTAGTATGACTCGTGGTCAAATCATTATCCTTTATTTCGGGAAACAAACGGCTTGAACTCCCAAGCACAATGCAAACAATTTCATGTTTGGATGGGCACCCGCATCTTGGCTCCAATCCTAGACCTAATTCATGATGGTAGGTGTGTGAAAAGAAAAGAGATGCTTGAGATGGTACCTTAATTTGAAGGCAGTTTCTTCGTCAAGTATTGAACAATTGATAGACTCCAAAAATTGCTTTCTAACCCATGTCAGAAACCCACCCAAACATAGAAAACGAAATCGTTTTCCTTGAAAATAACTTGTCCGGACAACCTCTTCGAGTTAGATAAGATCTTTAGAGAAATAATTGAATGGTCCTTAAGCAAACCCACATAAAGGTTAAGCTATTATATGAAAGCGTAAGTTAATATTTTAGATACTCAATCACTCCCCTTCACGCTTAGTCTGATCTTTTGCTTAGACTCCAAAAATTGATTTCTAACCCACGTCAGAAACCCACCCAAACATAGAAAACGAAATCGTTTTCCTCGAAAATAACTTGTTTGGACAACCTCTTCGAGTTACATCAGATCTTCAGCATAATAAGTGACTAGTCCTCAAGCGAACCCACTAAAATTTATTGTATTGTATGAGATTTGGTTAAATCACCGTCAACTGTTTTTAAATACTCTATCACTCCCCCTCACGTTTAGTTTGATATTTTGCTTAGTACTTAGCGTGAAAATATTTCATTGGGGAGGCAAATTAGGGTATGAAAAGATTCGAACTCAGGACATCCTATTCTAATACCGTGTAAGACTTGATGGGACCAATGCCAACTAATCTAAAAGTTTAAGCATAATTTAATATTCAAATACTCTATCGCAGTGCCAAATTCATCAGTCTTGTACTATTCACTTTGAACATCAAGTAATCTATAATGTCTTTAGACATATCTAGTCAATTTGCTAACACTTCGTATAGTGCGTTAGGCTAAATCGCTAAATCGGAATGTGTTTGATTTAGTTATTGTATGCACGATTCAAGGTGGTTGTCCTTGTCTTTCCAAGATGGTTCACATCCCATTAGATGAGCCCGTAATAAATGCAACAAATTGAACTAGTGGTTGAGACGAGGACTCAAAAACTTTTTCTTTTCATTATCAAGATTTAGTATTCATAGCACATTGCTCAGAAGCGCGTTTCGTACCTTGTATGGGCCAGAGATTGCATTGAAATCTATCTCGAGTATTGCATGCTTAATTTATCCATTTCACTGGTTTGCCAGAGCACCAAGTTGGCCCCCATCACGAGCAAGCTTCTTGCAACTTGGAGTCGAACATTTGATGTCCTGCTCCATTATTAGAGCAAAAGTCAAATCTGAATATATTCAATTCATCCTTCGTAGTTCTCAATTGTTCAATTACAAAAACCCACTCTTTTGAAGCGAATGCAGGAAAAACAAAATTTTTATTCATTTTCTGCTTTCTCCCGGGGAACAAGAATTTTGAACAAGGTATCTTTAATGCGTCCAGTAGGATTTGGGAAATTCCCAAAATTTTTTGACTCGAAAAAAGAAAATGCTATCAAAACTCTTCCTTGTAAGCTCTTGATGAGAGAGTTTGGTACGCTTATTTGCCACATCTACAACGATGAAAAGCAACATAATGGATAATTCGATTGTTAACAAATAAAATACGAGCTGCTCTCTAAGAGGCTTAACCTTTTAGAGCAAATGAACGCATAGGTAATTTCAAATTGGTATCAGAGTCGAGGTCTCGAGTCCAATTCATCACGCCCTTTTACTCATTTACGAATTCACTATATCAAATGGGTTTTCAAAACTTTTTCGCTCAAGACTTTAGAGTAAAACAGTGTTGTGTCAATATATAATCAAAAGAAAACAAAAAAAGGATGACTTTTATAATCAAACCATTCATACATCCCTCGTTATGTTTAAATTTACTGAGATGATTACATATTTGGAGTTACCAACCAAATTTGCCTCTAATTACCAACCGGGCTGGCCGACTATGACAAAAAATGAAAACTAACCTACACGACATGACATCGATGATTCTCAAAACTACTAAGATACCAAGAAACCAACCTTGTCACAAAGGAAGGTGCCGTGTGATTTTTGAAAGCTTGAACCCGAAAATCCCACAAACCACGCGTCCACTTTTTGTACTAGCCGGAATACATATGGATGGATGCCGAAATCGCGCCATTGGTATGACTCCTCGCCGAGGTGAAGACTTCTTTGACTGTACTAGCTCACTACTGTAACCCTTATTTTCAAGGTGTTATAGCTTTAGAATATGCATTGCCAAACACACATATTATGCTACTAGCATATGACACAACATATTGTTGAGGAAAATCCCCAATTAGTTTTGAAGAAAGACAAACCAATCATTTTCTGACCACAATTACACTTAAGTTATTTGATGCAGGTAAATACTGAGTTATCAGACTTAGTCGATGAAAGGACTTTGTTATCAGACTCATAATTTCTCGTCAGATTCAATAAGTATTATTTTTGGTAAGTTTTTGCAGGACAATCAAATTGATTTTATAATCGATATCTCAAGATATCGTAATTGGCAATCACAAGATCGTTCCTTAAACACGAAGAACTACACTTATGGAAACCTTGATTTGATTGTATGGGAGATCAAATCACCTGGTGATAATGGTTCTTCTTCTAACGGCTATGCATATTCTTTTGGGAAGATTCTCCAATGGGTTGAATTGGAGATGAATCCTCTGAAGACTGTCTAACAGATAGATTGAAAATAGAGAAGTATAAAAGGAGTGCAAACGTCGTATAAGAAGAAAAACTAGAATCGAGAATTCCAAAGTCTGAATAGAGCTTCGATCTTACACACTTATGATTACTGTATTCCACGTTGTTACTTTAGAAACAAAATTACTTGAGTGAAGAGTATACGTGATAGTGCAATCTATCATCTGAGAAGCACTGCTCTTGTAATATCTTGGTGATTCAACAGTGAAACACAGCCAACAGGCTGCCAGCGTGGAGAGTGGACGTAGGCTTGATAAAGCCGAACCACTATAAAGATTTGTGTGCAGTATTCACTATTCCTAAACTTTCATTGATTATTGTTGACATTATACTGCATACATATCTGTCAAACGAGTTCGTTAAAACATCATCATAGTCATTAGACGCAATCATCTGACGACAATTTATATACAAATTTGTCATACGCA